ATAGTAGCTTAATGCTGCTGTGTTTCGTATGGTGAGTGTAGAGAACCGGAGACCCCTTCTTACTGAAAATGAGGCATTCCATCTTAGTCCTAACGGGTGACAACGCATCTGCATTTTGTTTTTTGTAATTGAGGATAGATGTAGATGTCTATGGGCCGCAGTAACCACTTATCATCAGATGGTCTGTGTGCGAGTTTGTCACCCTATGCTATAAAAAAAGCAACGTGTGCGCATTTGCGATTATCTTCATACAAAGAAGGCCATAGATATGTCCCTGTTTGAAATGCCACAAAGCCTTATTATACTAGCTCTTACTTCCAAATCGAAACGCAGCAAAATCTAAAAAAAATTATAAAAAAAATATAAAATATAACAAAATAATGGGAGTTGATAAATTTTATAAATTTTTCATACTAACTTACTAATGTGTTTCTTTTGGTTCTTTCATAGTAGAAATTAAACTTATAATTTAGTTATTATTATTACTTATACCGTGTAGTGGAACAATATCCAATAACCCATATCACCCCGTGGGTGTCGTAAGAGAGTGACGGAGGGAAAGAAATCAGGTGGTAGGCGGGAGCATCTTTCTAATAACGACTAAAAATAAAGAAACTATGGTTGCCAATATCACACGTAGCATAGGCATAGCATACCACACTTAGCAAGTGGCAACTGTGGCAATCATGAGGCAATCTACGGGAAGGCGTATGTTCAGAAGTGGACTTTAATAGGATGCAACAGTAACAGTATTAATATTACACATAATAAAAATATTTTGCAGAATGTGGCTCCAGGTGAATTTGCGACGGCACAGTTTAAACTTACGCCCCCTTGGGCCGGTCGTCATCAAATATCGGCCAAGTTCACATCGAAGGAGATTCAAGATATTGACGGCTTTAGATCTTTTATAGTTTCGCCACCAGCAGAGAGCAACGATGTATCATCACTTGAAAATACTCACGAAACTCGACAAATATAGGAATTATACAATATTTAATACGAAGAATACACAATCTGAGAAAGAAATTGTAGTGAATGTTTTGTTAATAGCATGTATATTTATTAGCTATTAGACAATGGCTGTGCTATGTCTACGTAAAAAATTAACGATTTATTTTTTATAATAATAACCGTTCAGAAATCGGTGACCACCGAAAAACGAAAAAATTATACTATATTATATAATTAATATAAATAATATTTTAAATTTTATACCTGAATATACATTAAACTGTGTACCTACTGCCATTGATATTAGGCTGAAATACGCGTTGTAGTAGCAGCTGTGCATTTTTTAATTTAAAAAACAAATCATAATATAAGTCAGTTGGAAAAGTCATTAGTAAAGTTTCGTACCGCGATCGCCAATCTGTATGACTAATGAAGCCTTAGTCCAGCTGTAGAGTTTTAATTACAGGCGGGTAAAGATAAAGCGTTAATTATGTCATTTCACTCTTGTAAATAACATTTACACTTTAAGTTATTTTAAGGGTCTTTTACCTGTGGCCTGGTACGTCGATCCACCAAATATTTTATTTACCCGCACACTAGTGACATTAGTGATTACAATTCGATAAATAGGTAAATTGGAATTTTATTTCGATAGAAAATTAAAGAGACAATCTAAAAAAATTAAATATGAATAAAAATATGAACTATTTAAATTTATATTTAAATTTTTCTAATGCATAAATGCCGTGTAGTGGCGGTGTAAAACTCCACTACCCCATATCGTGCCGTGGGTATCGTAAGAGGCAGGACAGTCTTCCTGATAACTACTCAAAGTAATAAAAAACTGTGGTTGAGATCCCGCTAGCCAAGCGTGTCAACTATAGCAAAATTCCCCCTATGAGTCAATCTATGGGGGAGGCCTATGTTCAGCAGTGGACTTTTATTGGCTGCAATCAATGGACGAATGTATATTCAACCTAATAAATCACTTCTTGTTAATTCCATCAGATCCGTGGTTATACTTAAGTTATTCCCAATTACTGAAGGTGTTCGACTTTTTGACATTATTTTTGCATTAGAAATATTAAGATGGTTTACACGAAAACGATGTTTTGTTTTATTTTTTACCAGAGGATTGAATTATTGAAAAAAGTATCAAAAACATAATATCAAATCAAATGAGAAATGATATTAAATGATATATTTGTTTATTACGTAGTAAAACTTATCTATTACTGATGATTCATTACATGAACCTGGAGTTTTACTAAGCGACGACAAAAATTCCAAGTATAACTTATAACTAATGGGTCCTACTCTTATGTTCCCAGAGAGTCAGAATTCTAAAGTATTGATCGAATTGTATTCTCTGGTATTACTACTACCAATATGATGAATACTTAGCTAAGTCACTTATGTATTTTTAAATGTCAATGCCATGTTATTTATTATCTGTGTATTTAATCTACACTAATATTATAAAGAGTAAAGATTATTTTGTTTATTTGTTTGTTTGTTTGTACCGAATGTGCTCCGAAACTACACGGGTAAATAAAAATGTGATCCACCGGGACTACGTACGGTTAAAAGGCAATTTTAAGTCTCATTATTTGGTATTATTTATTCTTACTCGCTTGATTGTAACGGCATTTTATTTGTTTGGATGTAATTATTTTATAGAAAAATTGTTATTTGTTACGAAATTATATTAAGTAAAATAACTAAATTATAGAAAAAAATTATCGCACAAATAAAACCAAAATTGTATTCATTCCCTCCCAGATCAGCAACGCTCATGCTAACCTACTCTTCCTGACTATTTCTACTCCTTCCTAGTTCTACTCGACGCAAGAGGAGCAATAAGACCAAGGGAACCCCTGTCACTCTATCCGTGAATTTTTGCAACATCAGTGGACTTCATTAACTTCTCAATCCCCTAGCGGTCTCATGAGCCCGCGGCCACATTCTGTCAAATTCCAGCGGTCTCATGAAACCGCACCCACCCACAGCACTTTAATCCATTAAAACTTATATATAGAGACTACTTTTCTACGAAGAAGTTTCTACGAAGAAATCGGATTCGCCGGGCGCATGCGACTGCATGGGATTTTTAAGGGGATTGAAGTGACCTTAACTTCAGGGTATGGAACTTTTTATTCCTAATTCTGTAGTGCCCATCGGAGACATCATGGTTTGGTCGCTCCTGTAACATAGCATCACGCTGTAAGCAAGGGTGCCTAATGGTGGTAAATCCACCTCCAGGCCCTTCTAGAGTTATTGCCAAGGCAAGGTCAGAACATATCGGTAAAATTGGCAATTGGAACTCGATCGTCTTCCTTCGGGAACCCGTGCCTTCTAGTCTCTTACCAAGGCTGTCCAAGAGAACTTCTGTCACTTCTGTCCCATAACCGCACTCACTGACCCATGACGCAATTGATAAAACCGTTAATTGATAAAGCTGTTAGGCTCTCTATTTGCGTCCAACTCGACTCTCGATGACGGGGGGAACACACCGCCGAACATCCCGCGGTGTGAGTGCTCCATGCCTGATGTGCGGTTTACACAGCACTCGTTTCGCAAAGTACTCCTCTCCCTGAACATCAACAAGTCGAGTGGGCTGATGGAGTTACTCCCATTGTGCTGAAGACGTGTGCTCCGGAGTTGGCACCGGTTTTAACGTGTCTCTTCCGGTACTCCCAAGGCGTAGTCCCGAATTCATGGAAGACAGCTTTGATCCACCCGATCCCTAACAAAGGCGACCGCTCAGACTCATCCAACTACAGACCTATCGCCATCACTTCCGTATTCTTCAAAATAATGGAATCCATTATAAACTGCCAGCTTATATTTACCTTGAGGATCATCAGCTGATTAGTGACCGCGTTTACAGTTTTCGTCGCGATCAATTAGCTGCTGATCTTCTGGTCTACCTAACTCATAGTCGGGCACAAAGCGTTTTTTCGGAGCTCCTTTCCTAAGGACTTCCCGAGAAATAGTGCAATTGGATCACCAGTTTCTGCTGATCAGAGCATCAAGGTCGTAGTAGACGGTGCATGCTCTGATTACAAGGCTATTAACGCTGGTGTTCATAAGGCTGCGTGCTATCACCATCACTGTTTCTTCTGCATATCAATGATAAAGTCTCGGATTGGGGCGACTAAATTTAGTTTTGCTTTTGCTTTGCTGCCTTAGCTAGCATCGGAATCCTCGGCGTCGACATATCGAATAGTGTGCAGTTGCGTGATCACCTGGAAGAGAAGGCCAAATTGGCCTCTAAAAAGCTTGGCGTGCTCAGCAAAGCGGAACAGTATTTCATGTCGATACATCGCTTGCAACTTTACAAAGCGCAAGTTCGGCCTCACATGGAATACTGTTCTTATCTCTGGGCCGAGGCCCCCCTGTGCCATCTACTTTCATTTGACCGCATCCAGCGCAAAGCGGTTCGAATTGTCGACGACCGAGTTCTTTCTGATCGGCTTGATTCACTGACACTGCGTAGGGATGTTTTTTTTAATTTTTTCTATCGCATCTACCACGGGGAGAGTTCTGAGGAATTTTTCGGATTAATTCCAGCCGCCAAATTTCACGAACGCACATCGCATCAAAATTTACAATTCCATCCACACCATCTGTATGCTTCGCGATTCACCACTGTGTGTTTTACTAAGAGTTTTCTTCCTCGTACAACTTCTCTGTGGAATTGTTTGCCTCCGGCGATTTTTCCGGACCGATGCGACTTAGGAACCTTCAAGAAAAAGCTTACTTCTTTCTAAAGGGCCGGCAACGCAACTGCAATTCCCCTGGTGTTGCGGTTGATCATGGGCGGCGGTAGTCACATATCATCAGGTGAGCTGCATGCGCGTTTGCCCACCACTTCTATAAAAAAAATAACATTACATGCTTAAACTTGTTTTATTTAAAATGCCACGCTATATTTATTTATTTTTAAATATTACTTATTTTAGAAGAAATACATGTGAGTAAAGTAGGTTATTTAAGCGTTGAAGCTTGAAGCTAGTTATTCGAGATAAAATATTAAATAAATGTTACTCAAGCATGGGGACTTCTGGATTGTCGATAAAGCCTTTTGACGGTTTCTTTTCCTGGAACGTTATTTTGGAATGTATATATGCCGATTTTATATTTCGCTCAGTCATTTTAGTAAAGTCAAGTACATTTTCAGCAGGTCCAATCTCCAAAAATTCTCTTTTGCTTTGTCCTGTATTTGTATGACAATATTTAACCTCGTGTTCCGTGTGAAGATGTGATTCTAATTCTAAATTTTTCTTTGGCGCCATCTGTGTTTTCAAAACATAATTTGCTTTTGGCATGGTTATTACTACGTTGCCGGTTGTCTGTGAACGCTTAGCAGATGAGTTTGTAGTATTAACTTCTTCCGGTAGATGGAGCTGAAAAATTTTGCCCTTTATTGTTACTCGCACATAATTGGGTTGCACGTCGACATCCAGTATGGAACTGTCCAAATGTTTATATACAGCCAAATCTAAAATAAATTTGTCAGGTTCAAAGTCGCTGAATGAGAATTCTATTTTTGGTTGATTTATATTAAAAGGTCGGCCATCTGCAGCGAATAATTTATAAGACGATTTCACTTCCTCCTTCTCGGTTTTGTAGCCTTTTAACTTTAACTGTCGCATACGTTCTATTTCATACCTAACTTCAGGTGCATGCTCGGATTTTTCTGACCAAAATTTTTTGTTTCTCTCTTCCGGGTCCATGTCTTTAAATTCATTTTCCCATTTATTTTCAATGTCATTCTGAAGCCGTAATTTTTGTTTCTGTCGCTGACACATATAATTCTCTTGTTCGAATAAAATATCTGACCTTATCAAAGGAAGATTTTGTAGAGATGTTATGCGAGAAGATCTGTCGATTTCTTGGCCATCAAGTGAGGTAAGTTGTGGTAAAGTTCCTACAACGAAGTCGCGATAGTTCTCGTAATCGGTACAGGGATTTCCAGTCAGATATAAAGTTTGAAGATTATAATTACCAGCAAGAGATTCGACGCTTACTATGTTTCCAATGAAATTGAGAGTTAAATCCAATTTCTGTAAAGACTCACATCTGTCTAAATTCTCTATAATTTCTATGTTATTGAGTGCCAAATTTAGATACTGAAGATGTTTAAGTTTGTTTAAGTTTTCTATTTTTGCAATTAAATTGCTTTGTAATAGAAGTATTTTCAATTTAGGACACCAATCTTGAAGAAACTCTATCCTCTCAATGTTTTCTTGGTGTAATGCAATCTCTTCTAAAGGGGCTAAAAGTCCGTCGTGATGCTCTGCCTTCTTGCGCACCATATCCACATTAATTTTAACCATTTTTAAACAAATAAGAAGAATTCTAGTCTCTTCTAAAAGCAAATTAATCACTAAGTTCTAGTCTCTTTACTACTACGTGCGCACATTTAAATAACAAAGCGTATCATAGCAACAATTGATTGGCAAGATACTGTTTACAGTTACATGGACAGGCATTGGGTAAAATAAAGCACTTTCATAAACAAAGAACCATCAAAAACCAATCGTAAAAATAGTATATAGTAATAGTATATATTTATTCATGTCACTATATTACTTAAAACTAATATTGCACAAAACAATTATAAATCTACTTCAAAAAATTAAATAACAAAATGCGTTTCCTAATCTCAATATTTTAGCCTTATAAGTCCTTTTTCTCCAAACCACCTGACCAAAGAGTATATTATAATCACTACGTTTTACCACTCACTACTATAACCTTACAGTAGTTATGTACGTATGTTATTGTTTGTGGTATGTTATATGTTTATATATAAATACAGTAATAATAATATGTACTTACCTACATGTTATACGTTGTAAAGGAATGCTGCAGATACATATTGTTTGCAGCACGAATGAGTCGGCACGACCGGGGTAGAACCACGATCTCACGGAATACCAGCGTAAAATAGCAGCTTAATAATGTGTTTCGTATGGTGAGTGTAGAGAACCGGAGACCCTTTTTACTGGATTGGAGGCATTGCATCTGAGTCCTCAGGGAAGACAACGCATCTGCATTCGGATTCTTAATCGAGGATAGATGTATATGTATATTATATATGATTGTGTGCTCGTGTTTAACTTTATTCCAAAAAAAAAAATGGTTCTTCAAAATGGTTAAGCCCGGTAAATATTGTTTGCACGCTATATTTGAATTAGAGAGGTCAAGTGCTGCTCGAGTGATAGTATGAGATTGATTTAAAATAATTACATTAAGATAAATTTAAAAATAGTAATGTCAAATGTCCAAAATAAATAATACAACAAATACATGCAGGATATATTGAAAATGTGTACCGAAGGGCAGCGATAGAATCTACAAGATCTCAGGCGGTTATCTTTCGATCTCGGAGGTCGGTAATCCGTCATTTAACATTCCAGCAGTGGCACCGAAGCCGCTCAACTCAAGCGTACTAAATTAATATCGCCCTGATATAGTGGGTATTAAAATATTTTAAAAGACGCCATTTATAAATGACGTTCAGATATCAAGTCGCGAGAGCACAACATATTTTATTCCACGAAACTGCCAAAAGACAATGAAGATGAAGGATTACTATCATCAGTGATTCGTTTTATTGTTATTGTTCGAGGTTGGTTCGCGGGATAAGGAAAAAACGAAGACGTGGAAAAAACGAGAGACGTTGGGATGAAATAAGGCATGACAGAGGGAAAGACGGTGTTATTAGTGTGCGAGATGCGGCGCCCCGCGGTCTGAGTGTGTTTAGGGGCCCCTCTCAGCAGGGAGCCAGCCCGGCATTGTGTACCCGGCGTGCTTACTTATTGAAAGCGGCCAATTTAACCGTTTTGTTGTTTAAACAAACACTCAGTCGTCGTAAGTGGTCTAGGAGATTATTGAAAATAAATTCTTAATTTATGAAGTTGAATTAACATCGTCAAATAAAACTCTGTGATGTGTGTGCCTTTATTGCACTGGTGGCTTTGGTAACTTTGGTACGAGTATGTTCGGAAAATATGTCAATAGTCATTCTGCTTGTTTTTTTTAAGTTGCATAATTCGTCAATAGATGGCGCTGGTGGTTATAAAATGGGGGTTTTTATTTATAGCAATATATTAAACAATATAATGTCTCACAATGTTTGAATTAATAATTATGCCGTTTAGTCGAATGTTTGATACTTACGGCAATTTCTCTTATTTGTAGAGCTTCCTGGTTGAATTCGCTATAAAAGCTTCGAAAGGAGAATCATTATCTAGTCATGAAATAGAAAATCAGCACTTAGTATTATTTTATTATTTTGTTCCAAAAGCTGGATCACTTTACTAATCTTGCTCAGCTTTGCAACGACGGTTCGAAAATCCTCACTTCTAATAAAAACCAGTAAAAGGTTTGGTAGGCAACTTTGCAAGGAGAGCAGCGTCCTGCAATACACTCCCCCAAGAGAGGCCCACCCAACCTAACCTACTACCAGATCCAGATCAGCCACGTGGATTTTGCTTAGCTTCAACCATGGTATTCACGTATATTTTTATAGAATATTTGTGCAAAATCGAGCACATAGTCCACCTGACGTTAAGTTTTACGTTGGTATTCTGTGAGAGCATGATCCTATCCTGATCAAGTCGATCCATTCGTGCTGCAGCTATGTAAGCTGTTACTAGTATATAGCTGCAGCGTGGTTCTGCCTCGTAAGATGAAGGGGAACAAGCAAAAGTCCTACAGACCAGACATGACCGTAAAACCCATACATGTTATAGTCGTTAAGTTGGCAACTCCACATATGTTCGCAACCATCACACAATCCAGACTCTTACTATATTTTTGTTGTTTTATTGTTGATATTTATGTTCCAAAATCTGAACATCGTTAGAATGCAATATATTAATGTTATGAGCTACAATCGCTAATTCTTTGCAAATTTTTTGCGGTCTGGATGCTTGGCTGGTTTCAGCCGCAGTAAACTCGGAGGCTGTGCACGCAAGTGTCAGTATAAGTCAAAACAACCGTCGTCACTCCAACACCACGTTACCGAAAAAAAAAAACGAAATTCTCATAAGAGCTTGTTGCGACGTTCCACTTATTTCTTATCTTGTGTTAAATTGCCGTGCTAATACGATGTGATTTATCCGTTTCATTCGCTTATTTTTTATTTTTCAGTAATTTAATACTTTGCTACTGAGGGAATATAAAACAAGTTTTTTTTTACATCGCGTTCTTGTGGGAACTCGTACGTCAGTATTTTGCTATTGTTAAGTGTGGTAACATGTTAATATTCTAATTAGCATTGTTATTTCTCATTTAAATTCACGTCACTAGATTTTGTGAGCCGTGGTACTTCACAAGATAAACGCTTGCCATATTATTTCATAGAATATAAGCGAACCAAGTTCGATCCCCGATCGCAACATAAAAATGGTTAATAGCAATTTGAAGTGCTGATTTACGACGTGCTCGGCGGTGGAGCAATTACAGAAGGAGGAAACTGTCTTAAAAATTAATAGTATCTCGAGGACTTGTAAAGTGTGCCAACTGCAAAGTTTAGGTAAGATGGTTGTTCCTACCAAGAGAGACTTAGGCACAAAAGGAATCCCTCCGACTAGTAAGTGTAACGATATGAATGACACGTTACTGTTATAAATAATTTTTGTGCCTCAAAATGTATAAATGTGACAAAGAAGAGTTTTATTGTTATCGTTGTGTTTCAAGTGGGTACATCCCAAAATTTTTAAACAAATATTTAAAAAAAACGATATTTGATTATCAATAATATACATAATAAATCTATTATATGCATATAACAATACGTTATGCTTATGCATATAAAATGCATTATGCATATAAAATGCGCAAATTTTAATTTATAGCTTAAAATAGAAAACAGCTTTATATTTAAAAAAATCTATTTTTGTGTCTATATAAAATTGAAGTATCTGTCTGTATCATCGAAATAACTGAAACTAACTGAAAAACTTCTGCGATCCTAATGATATATACTCATCAATATCAATTGATATATATATATCCAATGTAATTTCACTGAAACCTAGTACGTACTACGTACATAATTATAATAGCTGATGGCAATACACGTATTCAGGTATACCTCAAACTCTGAAAACACGATTGTACAACCAGTGCGTGTTGCCAGTGATAACTTACGGATCTGAGACGTGGTCCTTCACTGCTGGCCGTATGAGGACGCTCAAAATCGCTCAGCGAGCTATGGAGAGGGCTATGCTCGGGGTTTCTCTGTGTGATAAACTCAGAAATGAGGATATCCGTAGTCGAACCAGAGTAACCGACACAGCCCAAGAGATTAGTAAGCTGAAGTGGCAATGGGCCGGCCATATGGCTCGAAGAACCGATAACCGATGGGGAAGAAAGGTACTCGAGTGGCAGCCACGTACCGGTAAGCGTAGTGTAGGGCGACCCTCCACTAGATGGAGTGACGACCTGGTAAGACATGCAGGAAGTCGATGGATGCAGGTGGCTTCAGGACCGTGCTTTGTGGCATTACATGGGGGAGGCCTATGTTCAGCAGTGGACTTCTGAAAGGCTGTAATGATGATGATGATGATGACAATACATATAGACATAGCATAATGGTGCATTGATGATACATGATATCTTCATCGTCAATATAAACACGGCGAATTCTTCCGCAAACGGGTGAAAGCTATCAGATACTTTGGAGGTTAGAGTTGTGTGTTAGTCGTATGGTGGGAGCTAAGAGAATTCCATCACGCTATTTTGGTTCCGTGAGAGTCGTAAGAGACGATTAAGGAAAATACCAAAAGGCTCTTGTGGTTTCTGAAAAATGGCGGTATAACTGTGGTTCTGAATAATGGCGGCTCGATTCACTGGGGCTGCGAAGAGATGTTGCATCTCTTTGTGTATTTTATCGCATCTATCACGGGGAGTGCTCTGAGGAATTGTTCGGATTAATCCCAGCCGCCAAATTTCGTGAACGCACTACACGTCAAACGTCCCGATACCATCCACACCATCTGGATGCTTGGCGGTCCACCACTGTACGTTTCACAAGGAGTTTTCTTCCACGTACAACCTCTCTGTGGAATAGTTTACCACCGGCGATTTTTCCGGACCGATACGACCTGGGGACCTTCAAGAAAAGAGCTTACTCCTTTCTAAAGGGCCGGCAACGCACCCGCAATTCTCCTGGTGTTGCGGTTGATCATGGGCGGCGGTAGTCACTTAACATCAGGTGAGCCGCATGCTCGTTTGCCCCTTCTTCTATAAAAAAAAAAAATAACTATTTCCTTATAGAATAAGGATGACAAACGCGCTTACA